TTCAGACTCGCCTGAATGCTGATTTCCCGCCGGCAGCCATTGACTTTTCGACATCGTTTTAACTTTTATGGAAACAAGAACCCAACTTGACGAATGTTAACAAGACAAGAGTGAGTAACGCATGCCAAGAAAAAATTGATACTTGTGAACTGAGCATGATTGTGTTAGCAGTGGAGTAAAATCGATAAACAGACTGTATAATCTACGACCTGTTAAAACACGTACATCATGGCAGAAGGCGGTAGTCGCGACAAACCTGCTATGAATTGGAGAGCAGGGGATCTTGGTACGGAATGGAAAAGGTTTAAACAGCATTGTGAATTCACATTCCAAGGGCCACTCTCTAAGAAGTCAGAACTAGAAAAGGTCAACTATATGATGACTTACATAGGGGACAAAGGCAGAGAAATATACAGTACTTTTTCATGGGCTGAACGAGAAAACGAAACGTTAAAGGGAGTCTATGACAAGTACAGTGAATATGTGGCACCGAAAAAGAACCAAATAAGAGCAACTGTAAACTTTAACAGAAGAAAACAGGACCAAGGTGAGAGCTTCGACAACTTCGTGACAGGACTCAAAATACTGATCAAGGACTGTGGTTTTGATGTTATAGAGGAACGGATGGTAAGAGACGCTATCGTTCTAAGATCGCTAAATCCCAAAGTGAGAGAAAAATGCCTAGAAAAAGGGGATGAACTTACTCTTGAGATGGCGGTGAATATAGGTCAAAATTTCGAGTTGTCTCAAGAAAGCATGAAAGCCATTGCTGGTGAGGAAGACTCCACAGTACATGCTGTGCTAAGGAAGCAGAAGTTCAAAGGTCATCGCAAGCAAGAAGGCAAGTCGTGGCAAGGTCAAAGAGAAAAAACGCAACAAAGAAGAGATCAAGGATTATCCTGCTGTACTCGTTGTGGACACAGGCGTGGACATGCTAAGAATGATTGTCCAGCCAAGGACCAAACCTGTCATAAGTGCAAAAAGAAAGGGCACTTTGCCAAAGTTTGCAGAGGGAAGCCTAGCTCAGCAAACATGATAGACTATGACAGCGATGACAATACAGATTACACTCATCTGATACACACTGTATCGTCCAACAGTGACCCCAGCACCAATGATTGGTGGGAACATGTTACCATAGAGGGACAAGATACGAGAGTGCCGATAGACACAGGAGCTGTACAATCGCTCATGCCATACAGCATGTATAACTCATTAAAGTCAACTAGTAATCTTGTGCCAATAGAGAAGAGATTACAGTCCTACACAGGTCACAGGATTAAGGTCTGAAGGCACAGTACAAAGATCAGACAACAAATGTTACATTCTACGTAGTGGATGCGCAACAAAAGCCACTGCTGTCAGGCCAAGCAAGTACGAAACTTGGTCTGATCGAA